GTCTCAAGGGCTTCTTGACGCTTTGTGGAGCGGTGGAAGCTCGAAAAGTCGAGACATTCGGAAACACATTAGAACCCAAAAGGCAAATCGTTTGTGTTTGCCTCTCGCGGCCATCTGGGGCACGCTCATCGAGTTCTCTAAGGCCACCTGGGACGGAAGACTCCAAATATCGCTTCGGGCTCCTGCGCTGGGGCCCCTCTTGGGACCGTCTTGGGGCGTTTTGGGCGCGTCTAGGGCCGCGGAGGGCCCCGTGGGGCGTCTTTGGGCGCTCTTGGTGGCCTCTGGGGATGTCGTGGAGCGTCGGAAGCTGGGAAAGTCGAGAGGCCCGAAAGCATTGAAAAACAGTCGAAAATCAATGATTTCTGCCTGGTGGGGCTCACTGGGGGCGCTCGGAGAGCCCTCTTGGGCCGTCTGGGGGCATCTTGGGATGCAAGGGTCGAATTGTTCTTTCGATCTCCTGCTCGTGGGCCCCTCTTGGGGCCGTCGTGGGGCCCTATTGGGCCCTTCGTGGGGCCATCTTGGGACCCTCTTGGCCCGTCTTGGGGCGGTTTTGGAAGTCTCTCGGGCGTCTTGGGGCGGTCTTGGAGGCCTCTTGGGACGTCGTGGAGGGTCGGACGCTCGAAAGTCGAGAACCCCGAAAACATTGAAAAAACATTGGTGAATCCATGGTTGTTGCCTCTTGGGGCCCTCTGGGACGCGAACATCGAATCCTCTTGGGCCGTCTTGAAACGATTTGGGGCTGCCCGAAGCCCCGCGGGACATCTCGTATCCTTCTGGTGTCGCCGTGACGCCACTAAGGCTGGCTTGGCTGCTCTTCTTGGGCCGTCTTGGGCCCCTCTTGGGGCCGTCTTGGGGCCCTCTTGGCCCGTGTTGGGGCGGTCTTGGGGGTCTATTGGGACGTCTGGGGGCGGTCTTGGAGGCCTCTTGGGACGTCGTGGAGCGTCGGAAGCTCGATAGTTGAGAATTGCAAGAACATTGAAAACACTTGATGATCAATCGTGTTTGCCTCTTGGGGCCCTCTGGGGAGTGAAAAACGAATCCTCTTTGGCCGTCTTGAAGCCATCTAGGGTTTCCCGAAGCCCCGCGGGACATTATGAAACCTTCTGGTGTCTCTGTGGCACCCCCTAAGGCCGTCTGGGCGGCTCTGAATTCGCTGGATAGTGTCCCCAGGGAGCCGGAGCCCCCATGGCGACCAGGGGCACCTGGGAGAAGGCCCACGGCCCTGTACCTCTCTCTCTATGTGTAATAATAAGATTATTAATAATAGCAATAACTAATAAGAATAAGAATAATAATAATAATATTAATAATAATAATAACAATAATAATGATGATACGAATACTCATAATAAAAAAAAACTATGCATAAATGCGTATGCATATATCCCCGGGGCGAAAATTATTCCTTTTGAGCCCGGAACGACGGATCGAGGTCTTGTATATATGCACATCCCCAGGACGAAAGTGTTTTCATTTTGGGCCTGGAACGACGGCTTGAAGTCTTGAGCAGGCGCGCGTGAGATAACCACCGTCGGATCCCAAGAATTTGGCGCGGATCCAAATGTGGCTCTCGTGTGTTTGTTTCGGTGGATCCAATTTCCGTCCGCGCGGAACAGATTTCGGATTTGCTGGATCCGCATCTGGTCTTAATTCTTTACGGCGGAACAGATTTTTACCCCGTTTAAAATTTATTATGGGGAACTGGAAGAAAAATCGGATCCGCGGACCCCAGAAACCGCCCGTGTTAAGATTCTACGGGGAAAGGGAGTTTGGTCATCAAGTTCCAACTCATCATCGCCATTTGCACCTGAAGATGAAAATCGTTCGTTCTGCGTATATATGTATACACACGGAGAAAAGGAATAACGAGAGAGAAAAGGCGATAACAACAAATAAACCATATGCGAGCGCACATATATATCCATATACATATAAACAACATACATATAGATATGTAGGTTTGCATATCTATATTTATGTAAATATACAATATACAAACATAGAACTACACAAATATACATACGGTTCCAATTTAATAACGGAAAGAGAGACAGAGAGACACAATAGAGAGAGAGAGAGACAGAAAAACAAGCAACAACATACGCAAAAACGGAGAGACAGGCAGACAGAGAGAGGGAGACTGATGGGGGATCGAGAGACACATGCCGGGACCAATAACCTGAATCACAAACATCGGCACGCTTACGTCACAAAAGTGTGTGTGTGTGTGTGCATGTCTGGTGGAGCTTGCAGTCTACCGTATAAACAAGCGCTTTTGCGGCGACCGTGGCTCGGGAGTAAAAACGCAACTGCATCACCGTCTTACATTCACGCGCGCATTGCAAACCACACTTTCCGAATGAATAGATGAACTGATGTGCTTGGCTGATGGGGCCCTGGGACACACAAATAAATACACACAAATAACAGGATCCCCCATATTTCCTATTTTTCCGGGTTTTGTCTTCCCCTCCACTTCCCATAGTTTCCAATAGTTCGAGGGTTTCGACAATGAAGTGTGTCTGTGTGTTTTTGTCCCTCCCGATTAGCTCCCACAGCCGCGCGAGCGGTCCAAATCAGGCAGCGCCCGCTCGTGCCAGAAAGCTCCGCAGATGTGACACATACCACCAGTCCCTGAGGGCGCGAGTGGTCTAGAGCGTTTCCTCTTCTCTTTTCCATCCTCCCCTTCGGGAAAGATGTTACAGTCAGACTTCAATGCAGGAGGCACGGGTCGCGAGACACAGGACACAAGGGTACCCTCGATTTGGCAGGGTCGACCTCCTAATCCGGGCCGACTGTAGAGCGTTTCCTCCTCCCTTTCCCATCCTCCCCTTCGGGAAAGGGTTTGACCCTCTCCCTCTTCCCTGCGCCTGGACCTGGAGGGGGGTTTTCGCGAGGGGCCGGAGCGTCCAAGACGGCCTCGGTGAGAAGGCAGCACTCATTGATGTGACCAAGATGTTGGCCACATGTTGGTCTCCTGGGGGGGCCTAATCCCACCAGCCCTCTGGGCGTCGGTGGTTTAGGGCGTTTCCTCTTCCACCCCTCCCTCTTCCCCTTCGGGGAGGGGTTTACCCCTCCCCCTACCCCCTCCCCACTGACCTGGACAGGAGGGGCGGGGAGCGGTCAGAGCGTCCAAAACGGCCTCGGCGAGGAAGCCAAAATCATTGATTTTACTATGGTTTTGGCCCCATTTTGGCCTTCTGAGGGGGCAGGGCTAATTAAAGCTCCCCTCTTCTTTGATCGATTTCCTCCACGATGGCCGCAAGAGGCCCCCAGGATGCCCCAAGAGGCCGCAGGATGGCCCCAAGATGGCCCCAAGAGGCCCCCAAGAGGCCCCCAGAAGGCCCCCAAGAAGACCCTCAGAGGCCCCAAGAGCCCCCCCCCGAGGCACCCAAGACCCCGAAGAGCCCCCCAGGATCGCCAAGAGACCCCCAAGACGTCCCAAGAGGCCCCCAAGAATCGCCCAAGAGATACTCCAAGAGGCTCCTAGATGCATCCAAGAGACCTCTGGCCCTTGTGCTTGCCCTCCTCCTCCTCCTGTTCCTCCTTCCTGCTCCTACTTCTTCTCTTCCTCCTCCTCCTCCTCCTCCTCCTCCGCCTCCTCCTCATCCTATTCATCCTCCGTCTTCCCACTCCCTCATCCATCCATTCATCCACCTCCTCCTTCTCCTCCTCACTCCTTTGCACGGTTCGGCCGTCCTCCTCTTTGCTGCCGCACTTCCCTGATCACCTCAACTCGCCTGGACATCGTTTCGGGATGGGCTGGTGGGGATAAGCGAAGCGTCTAGAATTCATGAGCCTCCCTCCATCGATCGATCTCCTCCAAGATGGCCCCAAGATGGCCCCCGAGGCTCCCAAGGGTGCCCCAAGACGGCCCCAAGAGGTGCCCAGGAGGCTCCACGAGGGCCCCAAGAGGCTCCCAAGAGACCCCCTAGACGCTCCAAGAGGGCCCCGAAAGGCACCCAAGACGCCCCTGGAGGGCGCAGGGACCGCCAGGAGACCCCCAAGACGCTCCAAGAGAACTCTAAGAGATTCTCCAGAAACATCCGAAGAGACTCCAAGAGACATCGAAGAGGACTCTGGTCTTTTTGTTCCCTCTCGGGCTACGGCGTCATACCCAGATCTTTCTGTTACTGCATGATCATCCATATCAATCATCAAGGTAATTCTTCTGGGCATCATGACTGGATGGGCTGGTGGGGTTACTTTTTTTTGATTCGCGGCCCGCAAGGAAAAATCCAGAGGGCGGTAAGAACGAGGCTGGGACACAGCGCACGGGAAGCAGATAATTAACGGCGCAGCACTGTTCCGGCCAAGAAGCAGCTGAGGCTGGTGGGGTTACGCGAAGCGCCTAGAATTTGAATAGGGTTGAGCAGAAAGTCTGAGGCAGGCCGACGCTGACGACGTACACTGAATGGTGCCAATATCGAAGCCGTAAGCTGCGCTGCGTCGACACAACACTTGCAAGCAATGGCGCGCACGCGCGTGGAGCGCGAAAGCCGCGGCGCGCACCTTGATGTCTCGATGAACGACAGGCGGGCTGCGGCCGTGGAGGTAGTTCAAGCCTGTCAGTGCGCAGCAGCGATGCTCGTGTGTGAGGTGGCCTGACGACGCAGTCCATGACACAGTGTTCCCGGTGGTTACCACGTCTCGAACCCGAACCCCCTACCAGAAGACTGCTCACCCCGCTTGCAGCTCCGCGTATGGGACACGAGGTGCAGGTGGAACAACGTGCACCCCGATACTCAGGAAGAGGAACTTCGCTGCTCAATTCTTGAGCTCCCCCACCTCCACATACCACTCCTCCTCCTCCTCCTCCTCCTCCTCCTCCTCCTCCTTCTCCAACTATCCATGGTCCTCTACCTCATCCTCCTGCTCCTGGCCAGCTCCCCCTTCAGCCTCTTGCTCATCACAACATGCCTGCTTGAAATCACATGAGACACCTATGGCATCACGACTATCGACTGCTGGCGCCGCATCCTTCGTCCACGAAAGGCGCCTTCGGCCATGCCACGGGTAGCCTTCTTCAGCAGGGGACACGTCAAGGCACCGAACTCTTTCAGGACAGACGCCTCCACCGACTGCCAAAGGACGGCAGAGCAACACGAGACCATCGAGCGGAGGGGCGCGATTGCAGAGCGAATGAAAAAAAACTGGGCCACGGGGGTATAAGGGACAGAGTAGCATGGCAAGAGGTCGACAAACCTTGGGTTTAGTGAGAGAATGCGTCGAAACGAAGATCGAACATCAGATGTCCGACCGTTGCCGCGATCGCTGGATGCGACCTACAAGCATCGCGATACGTATAGCCAGACTCGCGCGTGAAAATGAACGACACCAGCGGGCTCGACGCGTGCTGCCTCAGGTGCTGTTTGTATGCGCTGCTGCTCCCCGCTCTGTGAGGCGAGATCATCTAACCAATGCCGCCACTGTTCCCCCCGGCACGTTGAGGAATGGTAGAATGCAGGTGATGCCTGGCAGGGTCCCCTGTATGATTCTAAGAAAGAACAAGCGCCATAAGCATACACTTTTGGCGCTCTGCGCGGACTTCTTGGATCCGCGCCGAAACCTCCTCCCTGGCGCGCGGAGCGTGCCAGGGACGGCGCCGGAGGCGCCGCCAGGGGGGGGCCAGCGCGGGTCCAAGAAGTCCGCGCGGAGCACCAGAGTTTATGTTTGTGTGGCTCGTTCTTCTTCGAGAAGAGGCCCCCCTTCCTCCTCACTCACGCTCGGCTGCGTGCACCGCCCCCGCCCTCCCGCCTGGGAGCCGACGTCCTGGCGCACCAGCGGGCGGCGGACATGGATATATTTCGGCCCCCGGGGGCCCGATCATGTCCACATCCACCGCCGGCCGAGGCTTCGAAAACTGACCCTCCAGGCGGTGGTCATGTGTAAATTCTCCCCTGCCTCCTCACGCTCGGCTGCGTGCACCGCCCCCGCCCTCCCGACGTGCCCTCGGAGGCCCGACGCCTCCCCGACGCGCTCTCGCCCGGGGCGGCCGAGGGAGGAGGAGGAGGAGGAGGAGGAGGAGGAGGAGGAGGAGGAGGAGGAAGACGAGGGGGAGGAGGAGGAGGAGGAGGAGGAGGAGGAGGAGGAGGAGGAGGAGGAGGAGGAGGAGGAGGGAGGAGTGGGGGAGGAGGAGGAGGAGGAGGAGGAGGAGTGGGGGGAGGAGGAGGAGGCGGAGGCGGAGGAGGAGGAGAGGCGGAGGAGGAGGAGCGGAGAGGAGGAGGAGGGGCGGAGGCGGAGGAGGAGGAGGAGGAGGCGGAGGAGGAGGAGGAGGCGGAAGAGGACGCCTTTCCGACGCGCTCTCGCCCGGGGCGGCCGAGGGTGCCGGAGAGGGCCCGCAAGAGGCGGCCCGAGGGCCAGCGGCCCAGGCCGGCCAGCGGTGGCCCCTGGACGCCTCCGATGCGGCCCGGGGTGGCTCCAGCAGGACGGCCTCCTCCTCCTCCTCCTCCTCCTCCTCCGCCTCCTCCTCCTTCTCCTCCTCCTCCTCCTCTCCGCCTCCGCCTCCTCCTCCTCCGCCCCTCCTCCTCCTCCTCCACCTCCGCCTCCTCCTCCTCCTCCTCCTCCTCCTCCTCCTCCTCCTCCTCCTTCTTGGGGGAGGCCCCCACAAAAGCATCCAAAAACCCTCCAAGAGGCTCCAAGGAAGCTCCCAGGAGGCCCCAAAAGTGCCCCAAGAGGCGCCCAAGAGGCCTCCTCCTCCTCCTCCTGCGCCTCCTCCTCCTCCTCCTCCTCCTCCTCCTCCAGCGACCAAGGCCGCTGGTGGTGGCCCCAGGATGCCTCCGGCACGGCCCAGGATGGCTCCAGGAGGACGGCCCAAGAGGCTCCCAATTACGACCCAGGAGCGGTGTTCTGGCACGGTGTTCTGGCACGAAAAATCCCAGGAATGGTGCTCTGGCATGGCTTGCCGACCTTCCGACGGTCCTCATCCAACGAACACGTCCCGCAGTGAGCATGCATCTTTGGAGGGACCTATGAACAGAGAACTAGCCAATACGACCCAAGAGGATTCAAGAAGATCTCCCGGGTGGCCAGAAAAGGTGAGCACTGTTCATGCAACGTAAGGTTGCATAAGCTTCGCACTCTCGCCATTCTGGGCTCCAGTCAGCCCAAGGCGGTCCAAGAGGCTCTCAAGATGGCCCAAGAGGCATCCAAGACAGCCCCCAGACGGCCCCAGGAAGCGCAAGAGCTCAGAACTTTGGTGAGCCTGGTGAACGAGATGCCCGCAGACTCGCGCGCCGTCCTACTCCTCTTGAGGTATGCGATTTGCGGACCTGTACTTCCCTCGTACTGCCCTTTCTCATCCTCCTCTTCCTTCTCCTCATCTTCCTCCTCTTGCAAATCCTCCTCCTCCCTACATCTCCTCCTCCCTCCATCTCCTCCGCCTCCTCCTCCTTCTCCTGCTCCTCCTCCCTCCTCTCCTTCATTCACCACAACCTCTTTCCGCTGGTCAACGCGATCGCAAAGAAGAATATCAGGTGAACGCGCCATTGACCCACCGGACAAATACTCCATGTGGATGTACCTGCCACCAGGCACGGACGAGCAGCACTACGGGTGGCAGACGGAACTTGAGAAAGGGGGAATGCTATCGATGAACGATCTCATCCTCTTCCGCCTCCTCCTCCTCCTCCTCCTACTCCTGGTCCCTCTCCTTACCCTCCTCCTTCCTATTCATCCTCCTCCTCATCCTCCTTATCCTCCTTCCTACCCAACCCTCTTTATTTCATTTCACTGGCGCAACAACGCATTCCCATGCCGCGCAAACCCATACCGAGCAAAACCGAACTATGGAGACTTACAACTACTCCGACAAGTCCGAATCGCTATGAAACTCGAAGCCTCCAGGCGTTCGGCATGTGTCGCCCATACTTCCACCGACTCTTGGGTCAGCCCGAACCTGGCCAAAAGCTTCAAGCGGCCCCACGCCTCCCCCCAACACACACACACACACACACACACACACACACACACACACACACACACACACACACACACGCGCGCGCACGCGCAGGCGCAGGCGCAGGCGCAGGCGCACGCGCACGCGCACGCGCACGCGCACGCGCACGCGCACGCGCACACGCGCACGGACACGCACACGCACACGCACACGCACACGCACACGCACACGCACACGCACACGCACACGCACACGCACACGCACACGCACGCGCACACGCACGCGCACGCGCACGCACACACACACACACACACACACACACACACACACACACACACACACACACACACACACACACACACACACACACACACACACACACACACACACACACACACACACAGACACACAAAACACACATACACACAAAACGCACAACACACACACACACACACACACACACACACACACACACACACACACACACACACACGCACGCCCGCCCGCCCGCGCGCGCACGCCAGGAGTCGCCGTCATCGGCGCCTCGAGAGACGAGACTCGGCGCCTCGCGAAATGAGACCAGACAATACAATTTCTCACTATACCTCCCTCGTCCTCCTTCGCCTCGTCCTCCCATACCCCGCCAACTGGTACCTGACAGGTCGGTGCTCAAACAATTGGACTGCCCACTTGGCCTAAAACGAATATGGCCGCCGACCATCTCCGCTATGACCTGCAGGCAGGAGTGCAGTCACGACCCTGCATTCCTCCCTGCGGCAGGGACGATGCATCGAGGAAATCTGCCTAGGGGCAGGGAGGATCAGTCAATACCCTGCGACAGGGAGGAGGAGGAGGAGGAGGAGGAGGAGGTGGAGGAGGAGGAGGCTGAGGAGGAGGAGGAGTGTAGAGAGACTCAACCATGAAGTCAGGACCAGCCGTGAGGATGCAAGAGAAGGGCCGCAAGGCACGAGGTCCATGCTGAAACAACCGTTGGCGACGCGCGTGACTAATAATGAGGGCCGACGAGGCAAGGATGCAAGGGAAGCTTCGATGCATGCGTTTCGACTGATCTCGACTGCAATCCCTGCACCGACAAACGCACGCCGGCGCGACAACGTGCTGGGGCGGGTCGGTCGATCCTAATGAGAGGCGGGGCAACTCGCCTGAGAGCCAGCGTCGCTACCAGCTGGGGGCCTGACGAATGAAGAACGAACGTCCCGAAGTCTTCCTCATCCTGCCTCAATGGTCCGTTTACCTAAGCCCGCCTCGACAGTCCATCGCACACGAGCACACTGTGTCGGCGTTTGGCACTTCGAGGAGGTAGCACGAGACCACTCGGGCATCTGCTACAGAGCACGTCGCGCACGGCTGGATTGCGCCCCTGGCGCGGCAGCTCACAGCTCATGGCCGTCAGACTGGAACGATGACCATCCGAGGGCGAATCTTCGACGATTCGCCTTCTCCCACCCTATCAAGCGCAGGGGCTGGCGGCGGGGGGCTGGCAAACAGTCGTCGGAGAACTCGTGCCCGAGGTAGCTCACAATGTGGGGGTGCCTCAGATCCTCCGCCGAGCGCGCGGCAGCGGCTGCTCTTGCGGCGAGCACGGCCGGCGGCCGCGATGGGGAGCCAGGGGGGCGGGCGGCCCAGAGGGGCAGCGCGACGGGCGAGGCAGGGGCCACGGGGCGCAGGCGACGCAGAGCGCGTGTGGGTGGGGGTGGGGGGGCGGGGAAGGCGCGGAGGCTTGGAGAGCTCGGGCGCAGGACGGGGAGCGAGAGGGAACGGGGACGGACGGCGGGGAGCAAAGACCGACCGGCGGCCGCCCATGGTCTGCGGGCGCTCCGTGCCCTCTCCCCCGCCTCCCGTGCCCCCCCTCTCCTGCGTGCTCCTGTCTTCGGCGTGCCTTCTGACGCTTCTGTAGCGGCAGCTTCCTCCTCCTCCTCCTCTTCCTCCTCCTCCTCCTCCTCCTCCTGTTTCTCCTCCTCCTCCTCCTCCTCCTCTTCCTCCTCCCCCTCCCCTCCTCCTCCTCCTCCTCCCCTCCTCCCCTCCTCCTCCTCCTCCTCCTCCTCCTCCCTCCTCCTCCTCCTCCCTCCCCCTCCCCCTCCTCCTCCTCCTCCTCCTCCTCCTCCTCCTCCTCCTCCTCCTCCTCCTACCCTGCCATCCACCCGCCCATCCACCCTTCTGCAGCCCCCCGTTTGTATGCAGATGTGCATGGGCACGAATGGTATTGTCCTCCGCCTTGTGCTTGTGCACGCAGTCTACGTGATTGCAAACGCAAGTGCATGCGCATATGGATTCGCAGAGGTGTTTCGTTTGTGAGCGAACTCGTGGACGTTTGTGGTACGAATGTGCAGACGCAAACGCACCAACACGTATACAGCAATCTGCATTCACATGGTCGCGCGCGTGGGCCTGGGTACAACGACCATGCCTACCGTGTGCATGTCCACCTGCGTATGTAAAATTTCGCCGGCCCAACGGGCCAGAGGCGTGCTAAGATCTCCGGTAACTACTTAAAACTATTTCTGGTTCGCGCGAGCGGGGCGGCCCCTGGGGTGCCCCGGACGAAAAGTACCCCGGCCGATCCCCGGCTGACCCCCGGGCGATCCACAGGGAGGAGGCTATTTTTCGCCACCCCTCACGAGGATCGTGGCCTCCGAGGGGGGGGGGCTGCCAACGACTACCACCCCTCCCGCCCCAAGGGGCCCCCAAAAGCCCCCCAAGAGGCCCCAGAGGAGCCCAATACGCCGCCAAGGAGCCCCAAGAGACGCTCCCAAGCAGCCCCCAAGAAGCCCCCAAGACGGCCCCAAGAGGCCCCAAATAGCGCTGCAGGGCCGGCGGAATGAGCGAAGCGATTAAATATCACCCCCCACGTCGGCCAAACGAGGAGAAGAAAGAGGCGGGGAAGGAGGGAGGGGAAAAGGGCAGGACGAGGACACGACTGGACGGACGGCCAGCCACGAGGACGACGACAGGCAGAGGCAGTGACGTCAAGAGCCCGCCCCGAGTGGACCTGGTGCCGCGGCTGCCCCTGCCGAGTCGAGATCGCCCCCGTGCTAGGGAGCCCACCCCCCCTCTCGGGTACTGCGAGCTGGCCCAGTGCCAGAGGGTTGACTTCGACGGCTGCCGAGGCGCCCCAGCTCGAGCTGGGGGGCCTCAGGTCGGGCTGGGGGGGCCTCGGGGCCAGCGAGACCAGCCTGGTCCAGCGAACCCTTCTGGCAACCTCCGATCCCCCCCCCAGCCCTACCGTTGGGTCGGGCCTGTCCCCCTACAGGCGGATCTTGGGCGAAAAATTAAACCAAAATGCCCCAAATGTGCCCCCCAATGCTCAAAACATACTTTTAAACATAGTCTCTAGACAATTTTTTTACTATCTTTGAATAGTCCCCCTTAAAATAGGGCTAGGATCGGGATAAATCGCTCCAGAGTGTTCCAGAGCGCTCTCAGAGCGTTCCAGAACGCTCTGGAGCGGCCGCGGCGCCCAATACATCCTCCAAACCCGCCGATTCTCAGAGATTTCGAATTATCCCGATCCGATTTTGTCCCGATCTCCGTGTCGTTTTGGGCCCCTGTAGAGGGACACGCCCGACTTGGCCCTGCCGCCCGCGTGGACAGGGGCCAGGCGGCAGGCCCGGCCGCAGCGCGTCGGGGGTTAACGCGCTGCTCCCGACGAGGGGGGCGAGGCTGGGCGGCGGAGAGCTCCCCGCGACAGCAGCGCCGGCCCACGCGTCGGCGGAAACGACGCCTCACCAGCAGGGGCCGCGCTGGGCGCACAAGGGGAGGAGGAGGAGGAGGAGGAGGAGGAGGAGGAGGAGGAGGAGGAGGAGGAGGAGGAGGAGGAGGAGGAGGAGGAGGGGGAGGAGGGGGAGGAGGAGGGGGAGGAGGGGGAGGAGGGGGGGGGTGGAGGAGGAGGAAAAGAAGAACGATCGCCTCGAGGATCTCGCGAAACCCTCTCTTCCGTCCTTCTGAGGGCGAACGCAAGGACCTGGAATCGGCGATACATCGCCGATAGATTGGCGATAGGCCCCCTACAGCACATACGGCCCTTACTGTGCGGGTAAGGCTATCAGACCCGTATCGGCGATGACTCGGCGATTGGGGGCCGATGAGTCCTCCCGTGAACCCATCCCGCCTAACGCTGCCCCCGATCCTCCTCCCCACGGATGAGGAGGGCGAAGTCGAAGCAGAGGACCGCACGCCACTGATGGGGAAGAGGCAGAGAAAGAGAGAGAGAGAGAGAGAAAGGAGAGAGAGAGAGAGAGAGAGCGAGAGAGAGAGAGAGAGAATCTGACGGCTCAGAAACGCAGGGGAGGCCATCGGAGCAGACTTTTTCATGCCACCGAAGTGGACCGCCAACAAAGACGAGAGGGACCCTGCCCGCAAGAGGGGCGTCGGCAGGGAAAGGCCCTGCCTTGAGCAGGGACCGCCCGTACCGGCGTTCCTATAGGCCTACCACGAAATCTTCGCAGAACCCCAAAATGTTCTACTCACAAAAACAACGGCGTTCTTAGAGCATAAACCTATGTGCTAAAACAAGACTGTCTCAGCTAGACATGTTCTGAGAGCATTTCGACGAAACCACAAACAGTTTTCAGAACATTATTTGGCAGGCCTATCGGCGAGCCCTGGGGGGGCGGCGGCTCCGCCTCGCAGATGTCCAGCTCGTTCCGCCACTTCGTCTGCTCGTCTTCCCCGGCGGGGAGCTGGGCGGCGAGCGCGGGGGCGGCCCTTCGCTGGCCATCGCTCGGACGTCCATTCCCTGCGCCGTTTCCGGTTTCGTGCGCGGTTTCTTCGCCAAATGGTCCAGGATGCGCCTCGATGGTCCTCGCCGAAGGAGAAGTGCTCACGTCCGAGCGATGCCGAGTTCGTCCCCGCCCTCAGGTCGGCCCCGTCGCCCTCCCGCGGGCAGGAGCCGAGGAGCAGGGAGAGCGCAGGCAGAGGACCGGGCAGGAGGTGGCAGAGGACCGGGGAGGATCGGCAGGAGATGGCAGAGGGCGAAGGGAGGAGAGCGGACCCAGGAGCAGTCCAAGCGTCCCGCCGTTCTCGTCCTCGTCGTCCTCGTCGAGCAGGTTCGGGCCCCTCGTCCTCGTCCTCGTCGTCCTCGTGGAGGCCCGGGTGGGTGGGCCGAGGGGTAGAGCCGTGGCGTCTAGGGGCCTTCGGTGGGAGCCCTGGCCACTGGAGCCAGGCGGTCTGTGCTACTCTTCCCGCGCGGTGCGTGAGCCGCCCTCGGGACGCAGCGGGGGCGTCCGCACTCGTGCTCTTCGACCTTCCGGTCCGCAGGCAAGAACAGGGAGAGCGAAGGCAGATGATCGGGGACGAGGAGGCAGAGGACTGGGAGAATAAGGGAACGCACAATGACATAAGCAAAAAAACTCGGAGGTCCGCGCGGATTTCTCGGATCTGGACTGGACCCCCTGGTGGCGCCTCCAGCGCCGCCCCTGGCGCGCTCCGCGCGCCAGGGAGGGGGGTCCAGCGCCGATCCGAGAAATTCGCGAGGACCCACGAATCTTTATGTTTATGTCATTCTTCGTTCCCCTAGATCATGGTGGACACAAGTACAATCCAAGCGTGCTCTCGGGATCATCAAGGGGAACCACTTCCGTGTGGGCCGTCCAGCAGCGCTGGCACTTGCATCTCGCACGCTCAAATCGGGCCTGTCCCCCACAAGGGGATTTTGGACGAAAACTATAAATACCCCGGAAATACTCCCAAATGGTCAAAAAATACTCAAAAAATAATCCCCTGACTATTTTTTTACTATTGTTGAATATTCCCACTGTAGAGGGACAGGCCCGACTTAAGTCTTTTGGAAAAATGTTGACGATCCGTGCCATTGCCTGCCAGGTCTCGGGAGCAAGGGGGGCAGGGGACACTTGTTGCGCTACGTGGGGCGCGCCCAACGCTGGCCTGCACCACAGATGCGCGGGACGCCCTCGGGGACGATCTTCAGTAGACAAGCGCGTTCCACTACTCGCAAAGGAAGTACTCGCAAATGGCCTGCATCCGCCGCCGGGGGTTCACGATCCAGTACATCGAGGCAGGTGTTTTTCGGACGCCTGCGGGTACGTAGACACTTTTGCGAGCAGTGGCACGCGCTCGGTGATTCAGGAAGCTGCGCGTCGCCGACGTCGCTGAGTCGGCATCAGGCGACAGGCTGGACGACAAGGTGCGGTCTGTCTGCCTGGGGGAGCTGGCTCTCAAACTCTCAAATGGCATCATCATGCATTCCAGATGGGCCGTGCGGCGGGACATCGCGCCACCCAACGTGGCTGCGTGGAGCCATGCGCGGGCCGTGCTTGGACTTGCTGCTCTTGCCCGCAAGGGGTCGCTGCTGGGGCCGCTAGACTCCCCGGTGCCGTTTGCCACGGGGGAATTCAAGTGCTTCGACGATGCTGGCTCCAACGCGTGCGTCCAACCCTGTTACAATTGCATCCCGTACGCTCATGTGTTTCCACGGAATGTCTTCAAGGCTGGCTGAAAAACCATGTCGCGAGTTGTCAAGAGCATCATCGATCGCAATGTAATATCTGATGAGGTCTTCAATTTGCAGCACCGCGTCCGGGAGTAGTTTGATAGCATTATGGCTGGGCTTGGCGATGCCTGCGACTAGGCAATGCTGCCGTTGTTGCCGCTCTCTTGGTGGGGAGTTGCAGACACCAGTCTCGGATGTTGCTAAGACTTTCGAAGTGTGCGGCAAGTCCAGGGTGACCCTGGCATGGTCGAGCATCTCCCAGCAGTACTACGAAGAGACTGGGTGAATTAAGATATTTCGAACATTCGAGGAAGTGTTGTACGGCTATGTCAGGCTGGCACCACCGACCCGTGGTGGAGCTTGACCACAGGCATTCGTGTGCAGGGGGGCTGCTAGCGTCTTGCCTCCTAACTGTCTTCGTGTTTGGGGAGATTGTTGCGCAGATGCAGGACGTTGCGATCGGAGGGACAATGTCGAGTGCGGCTGTTTCTGCATGACGTTGGTCAAGGACGAACTGTCTTTCGCACAGAATAGGGCAGGTGGACCATGGGATCCACAAGGGAAGCCTGAGGATTCCGTACTGAAGCCTCTGAAACCCCTAAAGACAACTGAGAACTCCCAAGAGAAATTTGAGGACTCTGCAGGAACCCCAGATGACGTCTGAGGACCCCCAACAGATACGTGAGAGACCTTCTGGGCCTACGCGCATCACATACTAATGCCAAACCGATGTGCTCAATCTTGTCTTCAGTGGGACACACGGTGATGTGACCTGCCTTTACAATGTTGACTTCCACTGACCGCATGAACATACGAGGCCTGACGCGTTAGAGCACTTGTTGGCTTCGGGACGCCACGTGGAACTGATCATGGCTGACGTGTTCACTGTTTTTTGTTCCGAGAAAGCATATACGGATATGTCACTCTTGGCGTTTTACTTCCAACCTCAGCATGCCAGTCGAAAAATTATGATTGACGATTTCGACACTGGCGTCAGCGCAACACATCCAATAACTATGTACATCTTCGTGTGTTCTGAATTTCGGCTTTCGCATTCCACATGAGACATGAAGATGCCAGACCCTGCGCCTGTAACTGCGTCAGGCCTGGCAATTTTATGGATGGCTTCTGGCAAAACTCCTGGACACATCAGGTCAGGCCTGACGCTTCCACAACTGTCTAAAGCACACACGGCAAACCGTATGGCGCCGAACACAGAGGTCCATCAAGGAACTTCGCCGAAATAGCTGTTCGGACCCCGTTGCCCCAGAAACGGCGTTCCCAACCGGCTTTCTCGAACACCAGATGCGGGGCCACCCGATATGGCACGACTGTGACAAGGGTTCAGATCAGGGCTGAACCTAAATTGTGTTTTTGGCTTTCCTTTTGTTTTCGTTTTCCCTCTCTTTTAGCTCGAATCCGCCTTTACCGCAAAACGAAGTCGAAACGAAACCGGCCCACGAAATCACCAAAAACACCGTTTACGTAGGTCCAGCCCTGGTTCAGCCGCCCAGGAGCCGCGGCGAAGGCGCGGAGCTCACCGTGGTCTTCTTGACAGCGAACAAGACCCCGTGGTCGAGGTTCAGCGCCTCGCGCGCGCGCGTCGCGGGGGGCCCGCGGAGAGGCCATCGATGGGCTCAGCTCCTCCCCGTCCGCCATCCTTTCGCCTCTCCCGCCTCTCCTCCGCCTCCTCCCGCCTCTCCTCCGCCCCTGCTCTTCCCTCCTCGCCCGCCCTCCTTCCGCCTCTCTGCCCCTGCTCGGGGAGCTCTGGCTGGCTGCCACCTCGGCCCAAGCATTCGCCTTCCCGTCCTCAGCCTTGCCTGGCAACGGTGGGCACATCGCGCGATGGGGGCCCAGGGCCCTCGCTGACCAGACCTGAGGCGTGGCCACTGCGGGGCCAGAGGGCCCGAGAGTGGGAGGGGGCCCAGCATAAGCCCAAAAAGCAACGAGAAGCCCACGATGGCCTCGATGGATCGACAGTCTGACACACCAGTGTGCGCACAGCGCCTGTGTAGCATAGCGCCTCATCGTGAATGACTGCCAGACGGGATGGCGATGTGTAGCGGTCCGTTGCGATCCGTGCGTGGGTCACTCTGGCTGCCCCAACTGATCCTGACGTTGTTCCTGCTTTTGCCGATCCTCAAATTACCTTGTCTTCAACATCCCGATCTTGATCCCAACCCTTCCCCACCCCTTTCTCCTCCTCCTCCTCCTCCTCCTCCTCCTCCTCCTCCTCCCCATCCTCTATGAGGCTCTAATATAGCACTAGAACCACGCGCGCGCTTCGCGCGCGCTTAGGTTCTAGCTAGGAGGCGAGCTTGAGTCAACGAAAGTCGCAGGGAAGGGGGCAGGGGGAAGAAGGCCAGAGAGCGCTGAAGGATACAAATACTGGAACCCTCTTGTGATTTTGTGGGGGGCCTCGTCCGGCCGCTCGCTGGGAGTTTGACGTAGCTTCTCGGGAGCCTCTGAACCTGTCGGGGGCCTCCTGGAAGCAGGTTCGAAGCATTTTGGGGGCCGATTTGGGGCTTCTCGGGGCCTCCTTTGGGCCTCTTGGGGGTCTCCTGGGGCCTCTTGAGGGGCCTCCTTGGGGCCTCCTGGCGGCCTCTTGGGGCGGAAGGCTCGAGCTTGCGGTTCGTGGTCCCCCTCTGGGCCCCCTCTTGGGCCCGTCTTGGGGCCCTCTTGGGCCATCTTGGGCGCCTCTTGGGCCGTCTTGGGGCCCTCTTGGGCTGTCCTGGGGCCCTCTTGGAAACTTCTTGGGCCGTCTTGGGGCGGACTTGGAGGCCTCTTGGGCCGTCTTGGACGCGGTGAAAGCCCAAGATGCGAACATGCGAAAATCTACGTTTTCCCTTAGAAATGACACGATTTTTGTTTCTTGGACCTCTCTTGGGGTGCCTCTCGGAACGTCTTGGGCTGATTTTGGAAGCCTTTTGGCGCCTCTGGGCGGCGTTTTGGCGCCTCCTGGGATATGTTGGGCCGGAAGCTCGGAATTCGAGAGTGGCTTTCTCCTTCTGGGACCCCTCTCGAAGTTGTCTTGGGGTTCTCTTGGGCCGTCTTGGGGCCGTCCTGGGGCACTCGTGCGCAGCCTTGGAGCGCTGCCGGGGGCCTCCTAGGCCGTCTTGGAGGCCTCTTGGGCCGTCTTGGACGCGGTGAAAGCCCAAGATGCGCACATGCGAAAAATATACGTTTTCCCTTAGAAATGACACGATTTTTGTTTCTTGGACCTCTCTTGGGGTGCCTCTCGGAACGTCTTGGGGTGCTTTTGGGAGCCTTTTGGCGCCTCTTGGCGGCATTTTGGCGCCTCCTTGAGCCTCTTGGGCCGGAAGCTCGGAATTCGAGGTTGGCTTTCTCCGTCTGGGACCCCTCTCGAACTCGTCTTGGGGCTCTCTTCGGCCGTCTTGGGGCCGTCCTGGGCCACTCGTGCGCAGCCTTGGAGCGCTCCCGGAGGCCTCGTAGACCGCCTTGGGCGCCTCTTGGGCCGTCTTGGACGCGGTGAAAGCCCAAGAGGCGAACATGCGAAAAATGTACGCTTTCCCATAGGAATGACACGATTTTTGCTTCTTGGGCCTCTCTTGGGCTGCCTCTCGGAGCGTCTTGGAGGCTTCTGGGACCTTCTTGGTGTCATGACAGGCGTCTTGGAAGGCATCTGGAGCCATCGGAGCGCGTTCCGAAGCCGCCTGCGAACGATCTTGGACGGCGTCCGGCGGTCCGACGAGCCTCCGGGCCCCCGGGGCCCACATTTGTGGTCGGGGTCCCGGCCCCGGGCCCCCGGACCCGGTGCGCCGTTATATGTATATGTCTGCGCAACTCGAAGATGAAGGAGTGCTGCAGGCGAATGTTGCGGTGGCCCCTGTGAGGCTCAGGTGGTACTTTTTGCGGTGGGGAATAGTGGGCGTGCTGGCGTTGTGTGTCGCGTGGGGCAATTGTCGGACTAGCTCGCACGTTGGTCTGTGTCGGTGCGGCTTGTCGGCTCGGGCTTGGGCGGGAGCTCGCGGAGCTGTGCCGTCCGTTTTGGAGGGCGCTATTTGAATGGGGCGCCGCGTGGATGATCGCGCAGGCCGTTGACATAAAGCTCGTGGCGTGTCTGGTGCGAGCGGGGCCTCTCGATACAGCTCCAGAAAGCCGGGTCGCTTGCGTTGTCGATGAAAAACGACGCGTCGGTTGAAGAAGAGGACGCGCCAGTCGCCTCTTCCGCAGCGTCGTGCGCGGCGATTGCTTGTGCTGCTGGGGCAGGGAACTATACGCGCGTAGCGTTTCGTATTTCTCCCCTTGGCACACAGCGCTCAGGTCAGCCCCGCACAGGCAAACCGCGACAACATTCCCAAGAAACCGATGCCCGCACAATTACTGGGCAAGTCCACCCCGCATACCGCGCCGAATGCGACGCCGCCGCCCGCGCGCCCCGCAACCTGCGACAACCGACCCGCGCGACAACCCAAGACCGCGCACAGCGACTACACCGCACCTGCTTCAATGGCACTAGGCGTCACACACGGCGAAGTCATCGCAAATGGCCCCTCTCCCCTTCAGACGCACCACGCCGGCCCGCCCACCGCCACCTCTGCTGCAAATGCGCGCCACCTCTGCTGCAAATGCGCGCCGCCTGCCCACTGGCGCGCAAGGCGGGGTGCGTCGGCGTTGGTGGCGCTGGAGTCGCGGTCGCTTGATGTTGCGCTGTCGTTAAGGACATGCTGTCGCGATGGTGCGGCGGCGCGCGTGCTTTTAACATGGGCAGCGGGTCGCGCAGTTGGGGTTGCGTTTTGGTTGCCGGCTGTTTGGCATTAGCGGTCGCGGCGGGTGCGTCGCTGGCGCCCGTGTGTTTTGCGTCGACGTGTCGCGTAACTGCCACTGCGGCGGCAGCGTGGGCGCGGATACTTGGAAATCATGGTTTGCGCAGTCGGTGACTGTAGCGTTGGGTTGCAAGTTTGCATGCTGGTTGGCGTTTGTGCGGTCGTTGGCTTCGCCGGAGCTGTCGCTGCCGGTCTGCGTAGCTATGGCGGCGTGGTTGGTCGTGGTCGGGTTGCAGATCTGCTGCAGTAGCGTCGCCGTGTCTCGTATATTGACTGCCCATTCGTGCCCATGGGCTTCTGGTCGTCGTGGCAAGCGTTGAGCCACTGGGCAACTTCATGTATAACTGCCACATGGTTGGTACTCAAAGGCGATAACCTCCCGTAAGTCGCGTCTGGAAGTGCTGATTGGTCGCGGCAACCTGAAGTCTTAGGGCTGAGTTGTCGCGGCAATGTGCTGCGAATGTCTGCAGGCCGGCGCCGCGTCGCGCGACTGCGGGGCGGTTGGGCGGCTCGGGCATAGGTGGGCGCACGTTGGCGTGGATTGCGTCTTTGAACCTAAAAACGTCTTAGCGGTGTTTGCGGGTGGTAGGGTGGATGGATAGCGGCGCTGCTGTGGGAAAGAACATCTCGCTGTTGTACTTGTTAACATACCTGTACCATCCAGGGAAGAGTAGGCCGTCGTTTGGGAGTATGTACGTGTACGTGTTGGGCTGCTCGTGGTAGTGAACTGCGTAGTGCCACCTGTGGCTGTCCTCGCAAACGTCGGCGTCGGCGTCGTTGGCGCAGTCGCAGTACGCTGTCCATCCTCTAGGAAGGAGCATGTCGTGGTACCTGCTGGGTTTGAGTGACGCAGGGTAGAACTCGCGCGTGTCTGATGCTCCGTTCATCTTTGCCCATGGACCGTTCTCGTCGAGTCGTTGATTTCGTCTGAGTCCGCGGTGTCGTAGACGAGCTCGGACATGTCTTTCCATGGGTCGGATCTTTCGTTTGCTCTTTCACTTGTTGGTGGGGTCGGTGTCTTGGCTGCCGGTGGTGGCATGCATTCGCGGCTAGCGCCGGGCCTTCGCCTGTCCCGTCAGTCTTTCTTGCTCTTGAAGGAGAAGATGGGGATGGCTTGTTCTGGTGGAAACAATCGCGCATGCCCATTGGATTCGCGTCGCTCCTTCTTCAGATGGTCGTAGTCACGCTTCTCGATGCCGTATCTCGGCAATCTGCTGCCGCGCGTAGCCGTAGTGCGCGCGTTCTGGTGGCGGGCCAGTCTGGGGCTTGAAGCCTCCTCCTGTCTCGATGGCCTTGGGTCGCACGAAGGTGGCACGCGGCCCGCGCGGGCGCGGTCAGACCGCGGGAATTTGCGATTGGATGCATGTCGTTTCTTTGTCGGCGTGCTTGGCGCGGCAGCGGCGACGCAGGATTGCGATGGGCGCGGGTGCGGGGCTGCGCAGTTCTACTGGCAATCTCGGTTCGTCCCAAGTGGGCGCCTGGAGCTCGCGGCGCGCGGGCGAAGTCGGTCCTGCCCAGCGCCCTGACTTGCCGCGTGCTGCGCAATACCATGAGTTGAGTCAGTCGCATTCGTGTTGGGGAGCTTTGCGAGCTCGGCATACTGCGCTCGTTGGTAGCTCACGGGCGGCGCGATGCGTTTTCCGCGCTTGTCGACGACGCGCGCGGCCCATGGCGCGTGGAAGGTCGATGCCCCAGAAGGGCGCAGTGAGTCAGCTAGGTAGTTGGTGGGCGAGAGTAGCTCCGATCCCGCGGCGACGTTGCGGTTGGCGTCGGTCACGGCGCTGAAGACAGCGCGCTGCCCGTAGTCGGGGTCTGCGTAGTTGATCTTAGCGTGGACGGCGCAGTCCTCGCCCATCTGGATCCCGTACCTGTCCGCTTTGTTGGCGTTGTATCTTGCATGACGTCTCCTTGAGGCTATTATCTGTGCCGTCCTCGTTGTAGTAAGTGCACCTGGGTCGTGCCCTGTCGTGGTCTACGTCGTCGTTGAGCTCTGTCCATGACACGCAAATGAATGGAACGTTTCTTGGGTGTCGTGGTGGCTCCTCGTTGTCGATGAAGTGCGCGCTGTCTGGCCTGTAGTCAGCCTTCCTGTGGGAGGGCATCAGCATGGGCCCCTGTGACCAATGTGTCTCAGCCTTCGTGCGGGGGCCGTAGTATTTTCATGTGTTGAGGGCTGTTTGTAGCCTTTCTTGTAGTCGATGGAAATGCCCCCTGCTAGTGTCTGGTAGGTAGGCGATTGCAATGCGTCTGTCGTTTTGCCTTGGCCCACCCCCTCTGGGCAGGCGCTGGCAAGTACTCGTGGCCCAGGTGCAGCGAGAAATAGACGCCGGTCGTTTCGATGCCGTCGTCCGTCGACGTGTCCTGCACGTCAACTTCAACATGTGCGCGTAGTGTTTGTGCGCTGTCGGAGTCGAAGGTCGCGGGCGCGGCTGTTCGTGGTCGGTTTTCCCTGTGCGTCAGAGTGACGGTGGTCGATCCTCTGCGCCCTCGTCAATGTACTGCTCGCTAGTTTGTCTGTCTTGTGATTCGATGAAGAGTGTCCTTTCCTTCTGTGCCGAGTGGTCCAATTTGAATGAATACGTCTGGTGCAACCACCTGGAGAGTAGATGTGCGAACCTTGCGGCTGTCGCCCATTGGCCCGCATGAACTGCAAACGACGCCTCTCTGCGTGCAGGATCGCAATGGGGCCCAGGGACCACGGCACTGAGTGTGAAGAAAATGAAAAGAAGAATCTCGGCGACTGTAGTTTGGGCTTGATGGTTACGTAACGTGTGTCTGGTAGGGCTGAGATATGGTTCGATATCAGGAAAGTGCCCAGAAACGTAGTATTGAGGCACGCGTCTATCTGGGTGGCAGTATCTGGTGCCTCTCCCCCAAAGATGACCCCCATGGCTCTCGTGCAGGGCGTGGAGCTGGCCGTGGTATATCACGTCGATGTCGTGGTAGTTTTGTACGAGGCTGTGCTGCGTAGGACGGCGCTGCGCATCGTGCTGCGTAGGTGCTGAGCAGGTGCCACGTACGAAGTATGTGATGAGCTCAGCCACGTAGAGCCAGATAATACCCACTGTATGGACGCGAACAAGGGGGGCACCGCACTGGCTTTGTTATCAAAACAGCATGAGGCTGTGTGTGTGTACCGACGGGGTGTCCTGTATGTGACTCTAGGTATGTACTGTTGTGCACAGGTCCCCACTGTCGCGTCCGCGTATGTTGGCAATGTTAGCATAGTGGCGGTGGCCGGCGCGTGAGGCCTCTTAGGCGTGTGACTTGTGTGGTACGTCCTTGGTCTAGCCGGGCGTGCGTGAGCAGATTCCCTTCCGAAGGCGCATTGTTCCCAGAATGGGCGTCCAAGCTGTCGTTCTGCCCCTGTCCATCTTCTTAACCAAATCGGTGGGACTCGACGCGCGTAAGCGAACATGGTCGGGTCTGGGGGATATGACTGAAGAGTGGACGTGGAAATCGACATGCAGAAGAAATTTCGGCCTGATGAATTTATACGAGAAGGTACCGTTGGTACGTATTTCTGGTGTCTCCCGTATGAGCAATCAACTGAAATACTTGGACAACTGCTGCTGCCTCTCCCCCACGTATGCCCGTTAGGGCTTCCATGCAGGAAAGGGGACTGTGTCCAACGTGCTGTCTGGCCTTGCTGGAAGCCGCTGTCTCGTGTTATGTGGTGTTGTTGTGCTCGTATCCAGGGCCTCTTCCCCAGGTGTGCCCGTTGGGGCTCCCATGCAGGGAATGAAGTTGGTTGCCGTCAGATTGTCGAGTTGCCTTGCTTGCTGTTGTGTGGGAATGCTGTGCTATGTAGCATCCTCGCATATCCGTCTTTTCGGTCAAGTCATGGTCGGTGGCCATTTCTGTCCTCCCATTGTCGCGAGTGCACTGTATAGTACTCAGTAACAACCAATTCTTCTCCCTTATCCAAATGATCTGCGTGCTGGGAGCATGTGGGGTATGTATGGAGGTGCTGAAGTACGTATGCAATCGGCGCGTAAGTGGGCACTCCGTCTCTTCAAGGCAGGCATGTAAGGCACTCTCTGTACGCTGCATGGAACCATGGTAACGTGGTCCCTGGGGAGCCCCATGGTAGCCCATGGCTATGATTTTTGTCTTCACGACATGTATCGTGACGTAGGGACATCGTTGCCAGATTTAGCTGTGACTATAACTGGTTAACCCAAGTCTTAACTCCATGGTTGTCGCTGTAATGATGTTGTGTAGTGTGGTCGTGGTTGCCTGCGTGCTGCTTGACCTATCGATGTGCAATGCTAAGGTTTTGTTTGCTTGTTTTACAAATGTGGGTCGAATGGCAGGTGGCCTTGTAGGTCTGTTGGTGTAGGTGGGGTCGGGTATCGTGCTATGTTGTCTGCTATGAATTCGGTGATTTGTTGACATAGATGAGCTGGGATGTTGTAACTACCTTGTAGTTCTTCCGTGTTGCTTGGAATATGTGCTGGGCAGTCGCATCTGCAATGGTTGCGCATGCTGTGTAGTGTTTGGGCTAGCTTGCATAGTTGCCATGATCGTACTTGCGTGGTTCTGTGTGCGTGGTGACCCATTGTGCATAAGTCTATTGCATTGAGCTGTGCCAACTTGTGCAGCTGGTTACGCTGCGTTGTGCTCTATATATGCTGCGTTGTGCTCTATATGCTGATATATGTTGCTTTGCTTAGGCCATCATTATGGCTGCTGTCTTGGTGTGTTGAGCTGTGACTATGAGTAGCGCTGCGCACTGTATTCTGCGGCTGTGGTTGCGCGTCTTGAGAAGTTGCGAGGCTCCTCCTCCTCTTCCTCCTCCTCCTCCTCCTCTTCCGCCTCCCCCTCCTCCTCCTCCTCCTCCTCCTCCTCCTCCTCATCCCCCGTCCCCCTCCTCCTCTCCTCCCCCTCCCCCTCGTCCTCGTCCACTCCTCCCTCCGCCCAGCCACGGCGCTCCCCAGGCCCTGCCCGCGCGAGGCCACATGCGCCCTAGGGCTGGGCACCCACGCTGTCGACGGGCCGCGCCTTGTACACCGTGCCGTAGGCGCCGGAGCCGATGCGGTCGCCGCACTTCCACCTCCCACCAGAAAGGTTGCCCAGCGTCTTCCCCCCCTTTCTGGAGGAAGGACGGGTGTGACGATGACGAGGGTGCGACTTTTTTTGTTGTTTTTCTTTATGTTTTGTCTTGTCTCGGGCGGCGTCTCCATTCAAAAGGCAGCACTCTGCACAAGTCGGACATTCAGACAACAGCTGTACAAGAGAGGTTCCTTGAAAAGGACCCGCGCTGCCACAACCTGGGCTCCACCCCCGCGGCAGCGCGGGAAATCTGGGTGGCAAAAGTCGACATAAGAAATCGAGCAGACACTTCGTGACCGAGGAAAACATTGGCCACCTACCACACAGAAGGAGGGATGCAAGAGAACAGAAACCTACGAACAAAAACTGAATTAGTCTGAGTTGGAACCGCCCCCAGGATCTCTGCCGCGAACCAGGGGGGGACTTCATGTTCTTCGGTTCCCAACGCTGAAGCAACGCTGGGAAGCGTCACGGACACGGCCGAGGAAGGGGCGGGCGCCTCCTGAGAAGGTGTCTGAGCGTCCTCACTGCTAGCAGCTCCACCCCAAGGACCGCGCTCCAACGAGACGGAGCCGAGCTTGTGGCGTAAGCCACGGCAGGTGCGAGACCAAGCGTGAGGCGCAGCCTTGCTCTGAGAAGCTCTGCCGCACCTGACCGAAAGATCCCTGGTCCTGCCTGGACGAGTCAGGGCGGAGAAGCGAGACGCAGCTATGCTGGCGCCCCTCGAGACCCCTGGGGTCCCGTCGAGACTGTCCACCAGAACAAGGAAGGGAAGAGGAGGAGGGGGGGGAGACAAGCTAGGTGCGCTCGCGTCATATCTGACATCCTACCCCTCCCTCCCATCCCTTACAATGGCGCAGATCCCCTCTCTACTCGCACAGTCGGATGTCGAGCAGGGCAATTATCCCGAAAGGGTACGCGATGCATTGTAGAGCACGGCATGGCATGGCGTAGAAGAGCACCGCAAAGCGTAGTATCAACCTAGCATTGCATTGCACGCCGTGGCATGGCACGGGAAATGACGCCAGCGCTGCAGCGGGAGCACGAGTCGAAACAAGCGGAAGCGCGGAAATGAGGCCAGCGCTGCAGCGGGAGCACGATTCGGAACGAGCGGAAGCGCCGAAATGAGGCCAGCGCTGCAGCGGGAGCACGATTCGGAACGAGCGGGGCCCGAAAATGAGGCCGGCGCCTCAGCGAGAGCAGCATTTTGAAAAAAATGCAAGTGAAAACCCAACTCCCGGGAAACCTGTGTAAAAAAACAGGACGCGGGGGGGGGCGAACACTCCCAGCACGTCATCAGGGGAAGAGGCAGAGTAGTATTCAATTCATATTGAGTAATTGTGGAGGGAAAGGAGGAGGGAAAGGGGGAGGGGAAGGAGAAAAAGGAAAGAGAAGGCGGGGAGGGACACGAAGAGGGTGGTGTAGAGAAGGAGGGGTAGACGGATCGACAGGAAGATGCGGAGAAGAGCGCAAGGGCATGCGAACCGAAAAGATGCGAAGGCATGACCTCGACGGGAAGGGCAATCCCATCGCGCCTAGTGTCCACGGCACACACAGGTACACACACAAATACTCACTCACTTACTCACACACACACACACGCACCTAGACGCACACACACCATAACACAACAAAACAACACACCATAACGCACCACGCATAGACACAGCACACAGGCACGCACGCACCCACGCACGCGCATGCACGAATAGACGCGCGTACACACACACACACACACCACGCACACCACACACACACACACACACACACACACGCACGCGCGGACGCACGCACGCACGCACACGTGCACACACATGCACTTGTTGCGTCGGCGGCTGGGCAGAGGGCGACCGCTCAGGCATAATGGCAGCAGGGGACACGTTGTATGCAAAGTACGGCCGCAGGCGCACGCGCGCACGCGCGCAAAACAGCAAAAACACGACGCACGCACCCTTGTTCGGTCGGAGCGCTGATGGGATGCATTCGGCGTTTCTGGAGTCACGCAGGCGGGTTGCGCCGAGCATCGGGCTGCCACTTGAAGTAGGGGGCGAGGCTGCCCCGAAAATAGGAGCGTCCTCGGCCGCCCGCTGCGCAGAAACGATCTGGCGAGGGCAGGGTGACAACAGTGAAGGGGCCCTGGGACACACAAATGAATACACACAAATAAAAGGATTCCCCATAGTTTCCCATATTTTCTGTGTTTCTGTCTTCCCCCCCGCTTCCCATATTTTCCTATATTTTCCTGGGAATCGACGATTAATTGTGTCTGTGTGTTTTGTTCCCCTCCTGAAACAGGTGATGAGGGGAAACGTCATGGGCGACTGGCTAAGAAAGGGACACCTCGATTCGGAATCGGAGACACATCGTCGAGTGACCCTCGATGGCGAAGTCGCACGTTCCTGGGCGGGAAGCCCTCGTCGGCGATTGGGGAACGATTGGGGGGGCGATGCGCTCCCCCCTGAGCCTGTCCACCCCTCACGTTGCCCCTGAGGTGAGAAGCAGACGAAAACCACGGCCAAGGCGAGGGAGGGAGAGAGGCCGAGGAAAGAGGGGCACGGGGCGGCAGGCTGAACGGGGCCTCTCCCCAAAATGCTGGTCGGAGCGGACCCTCAGCGCCCGTCGCTCCCCGCACCGCTGCGGCAGCGGGGCTCTCCGGCGCCCACGTCGAGCCCAGCGCCTCGGCACCAGGGCCAGCTGCCCTGCAGGAGCAAGCAGGAGAGGGGAGGTGGCTGGGCAGGCCGGCGCCACCGGCAGGACCTGGCAGCGTCGGGCCGCGCCCGGTCGCCGCCCACGGGCGCCAAGTGGGGAGCGGCGGCCGCGCACGACGAGCACGGGCGAGGCGAGCCGTCGAGACAAAGCCCGGCCACCGCAGGCTGTAAACATCGGGGGGCGAAGCCGACGGCGCAGCGGTGGCGTGGAGGGGCAGCGACGAGAAGCAGCACACACAAACACAAACACACGCACGCAAACACACACACACACACTCAGACACACACACACAAACACACACACTCTCACACACACAAAAAGTCTTTCACACACACACACCTTCTCTCTCACAAACACACACACACACACACACTTCTCTGCATGCCCACACCACCTCACTACAAACAATGCTGACGACTGGATCTAGTTATGATGCGCTGCATGCCTCGTCCTCTTCTCCTTCTAGTTCTCGTCCTCCTCCCCCCCCATCCTCATCATCCTCTTCCTTGTCCTCGTGTTCTTTCTGTGTTTCCTTTCTGCTCCACCTCCTCAACCACATTCCTCCCTTCTGCTGCCACCTTTCCACCTCCACATGTTCCTCCACCTCTCCCTCCTCCGCTTCTGTTGGCAACTCCACTTTGTGTCTATAGTATCCTCCTCCGTCTCCGATGTTCCCCCTCCTCGTCATAATCATCCCTCTCTCCCTCCTTCCTGCATTCTCTTTCTGCCACTTCCTGTTCCTCGTCATCGTCCTCGCCCTCCTGACCCTCTTTCATCTCTTCCTGCAAGGCAGTGCTGGGCGCGGCCTTTGTGCCTAACCCTGGAAGGACCCCTCGTCGAGACCCATGCTCGGACGCAGGGGGCCCAATAAGGCGTGGAAAGGTGTTCTGGACACGTGTGCTGGACGAGTCACTCTTTGGATCTCTGTTTATTGTCAAAACGTGTGAGGTGAAACGACCGCTTTGCTTGAGCAGTGACTGGGTGGAGCGTGCAGCTCGAGTCGGTACAATGTGTCAATCAAACGAATACCAGCAATGCCCCAAACCGTGCTTGCCCTCAGGGGCTCTTGCCTTTGTCGCCGCACCGTCGACGACCATATTCGCTTTTACTTTAAAAACCATGACATACCACCATCCCCCACGTTTTTTTTGCGTCCGCCTGAGATCACATAGTTTGAATACGACTCTGCCTCATCGTTCATTTTAAGTACGAACTCAGCTCATTCCACCCAAGACCCTGATCGCCCCCCCACATGCATCTGCCAAATAACACTACTATGCGCGCAAACTCGTTTAACAAAACCTAGCGTTATCTCAACATAAAACAAATTCCGCACGCGCGCGGCGTCGCGTGCAAATGCCTATGGCATCCTTGAAAAAACTATGAGTTACGCAAGGATTTCAACACCGACGGTCCCGACAACACGTGGAACACAACAATACTGCATTGCAACAAACAAGCCTCGCTGCGCGCGTGTGTTCGCGAATTGTTGGGAAACACATATGGGTTTCAACATGTCCTTGAGACGAAACCGCACGGGCTTCTCGCGGGCACATGTCTATCGGAATGATTCGACGCCCTTGCGCGTTTGCTGGGGGGGGCACGATTCCTGTCAAATGAAAACATGCGGGCCACTCGTGCGCGTCGCCACGCGGGCATGTCGAAATCTTCCCGAAACCTTCGTCACAGACACTTGGACATCATCATTGCTTGCCATCGGCTTCACCAGCGTCGGCGCCGTCATTGGTCTTGCCGTCGTCGTTGTCGACGTCACCATGATGCCGCGCCCAACCGACCTACTGACTTGCAATGAGGTGCCCGCGCATCACCGCGGCCTGCGCGATGCGCTGACAGGTCCAGCGCGGTCAGCGCCACTGCGGCCGACACGGTCGCGCCAGACTAGCTGGCCGCTGTCCGCGCGAGCTTGCGCGCGCTAGCGCGGCCGCGACGATGCGCCAGCCAGCGCCGAGCAGTCAACGCAGTAGCCGCTGCATTGATTGTGCAAACCAACTTGCGTGTGGGTGGGTGGGATGATGGCGCGAACAGCGGAGAAGACAACTCCGAGTTCTTCAAACAAACCCTCTTTTCCGACAAAAAGTTAGGATCTACCCCCCCGAAACGGGGATTATCGACCCCTTTGGGGATTGCAATTTACATCTGATTCTGCCATCGTTCATTATAATATGATGTTGTACCATCCGAGCCATACCGGCTTCGACTCCAATCCCCCCACCGTCCTCTGCAAAAACCACTACGCGAACCCATCCGCGCATCAAACACGGTAAATTCTCA